TCTAACCTGCCACCAAATCGGTATGAAACACAGTTTGGACGTGAAATTACATCAACTTGTTCAGTGAATAAATGTAAAAGTCAAAAACAAAACAACAGCTGATAATGTAACAATAACATAATAAATTTGCACTTTTTAAAATGTAATGGGCCAATAACGTATTTAAAGTCCTGAACCGATAACCTCATTTTTTTTGGCCAATAATGTGATAAGTTATTATTTTATTTGATAAAAAACACGTTATCGGAGCAGGGCTTTTATTACGTTATCAGTCAAAAGTTATGACGTTATCTGATCGGGACTTTTATTACGTTATCGACCAAAAGTTGTTACGTCATCGGATCAGGACTTTTATTACGTTATTGGCCAGTTATTACGCTAGCGGCTGTGATTACATCATTGGCTTCTACAATAACCACTGAGGCTAATCGTAGCAGGACACATGAACTGGCAGAAGCTGCGTTGGCAGTGAAAACACCTTCAGAAATTCTCTATTATTTGTGTACAGTGCAGTCAAAGATTGACATCTGTGCAGGTCGGAAGGTTCTACTTGCTGTTTGGTTTTAAGGCGTGTCTCGGTCTCTAGGTGACATTATTTCAGCCACAAGTTGGTTTGTCTGACTTTTTTTTCTTATTTTCTGCAGATCCCGTTTGGCCTGTTGTATTTTTTCCATTTCACGCCCGTCGCTCTCCATCCGACCTCCTGCTCACCTGTGTCCCGTTTCCCAGTCCGTCCATACCTGCCACCTTCCCCCCCGCAGGGTTTTGTCAGATTTCATTGTCGCTCTTGATGTTTTGCCGGCGTCCCAGTATTTTTCCCATCAGCTCATTTGAAGCGCTGAGCTGTTCCTGCCTGTCTGATCTCAGGGTGTGGCTTCGTCCCGTGGCGCGACCGAGCAGATACGACTCATTCTCGGGAGGGACGACTGCGACGCGTCTCGTCCTTGTCGTTGCAAACACGATTTCTCAGAGACCTTTGGAGGGCGGAGCTGTGGACGCAAACATAAAATCCATAAAAAGAAGCAGCGTCAGACTGTACAGCGGGCAGACTTTTTGTTCTCACCTTGTCTTGCACCTCCTCTGGACGTGAGCCTCGCCGTTAATCAAATATGCTAATTTACGTGAACAAACAAATCGATTCTGGTTCGAATTGATTGATTGTCATTTGAGCCTCTGTTTACCTGCAGCTTTCGGCCGTCCCCTTTGTCCTGCTTCATCTAGCCGGTCGCTTAGAGGGCAACAACAGAACCCTTCAGTGCTCACGACATGTTTTCTACTGTTTAAAGTAGAGAAATTTAAGAGAGGATGAGCAAGAATTTAAATGGACATTACCAATAAATGGACAGTGCAGAAGTCAGCTAGTGATATTTTCTGAACCACATGAAGCTGAATGTCACAATAATACAAAACTAAACATGTAGAATACTTAAAATAGCATAATCATAACGTTGTACTGGTTTAACTTCCATTGTTTCTATGTTAGAGGTCAAACCCCACAAGGATCAATGTTTCTACACCAATCCTTTTTGTGTTAACACAATGAAAAAAGGAAACTCAAAGAAAACCCATCAAGGAACACAAAACACCATAAAGTTAT